TCGCTTATGAAAAGATGTCTTAAAGTGTCCTCTTTCTAATGCTGAAAACCGCACTTCATTATCTATCTCCCGCGAGGAGTTATTCAAAAAGCAACCGACTGCACGACCATTTGGTACGGATAGTAGTACAGGCGGTGTTGACGAATGTGGGGATGTTTGTTATCCGGCTGCGTTACCAACCGGCACAATATTATATTCAAACTGTACACTAGTGATTACAGGAAAGAATCTTTACGATTATTATGCCGTGGCAATACAGGTAACCTTTCTCTTCTCCTTACTAAACCCCGGAACAGGATCGAGGAACTTTTTGTACTTTTTCTATTCATAAAAAGATGTTTTTCCGACATTATTATAGTTCCATATTTCAAAATTATCTTGAAAACAATCGCAAGAATGACATTTTCTGAATGCATTCCGCTTCCATGTTTTATTTAGGTTGAAGATTATCTGGATTCGACATCAACAACTGCGTTTAGTTCCGTACCCATGCAATTTATAGTGTATGTGATTCAACCACTATCGTGTCCTTCGCCGATTGTCTTCAGTTCATTTACAACAGATGCTTGTATTAGTGTACAAGTCGGTCAAACATTAGTGATTCCGCTATTTGCTGAGAATTATTGTCCGACCACAGATATTACTGATATTGGTACATTGTCGTTTCCAAATGTAATAAAAAGTTCACTTATTCAATTAAATTCAACTGTGTGGACAGTTAATTTAACGTATACGCCAACGGCCAGTGAAGTTGGACTACAAATACTCTGCGCAATTGCTATTGACACGTAAATACCAGATTTCTCTTTTGAGCATCATTATTGTGTTTCATTTTAAGTGTTTACACACAATCCAGTCAATACTGCCTCACATTTACAGTTGGAAATGATAATTCACTTTATTGTCAAGTAAATACAAATTCAACGTTAGTGTTCCATTCATACCATAAATCGACTATTCATTTACATGTTTTTGCTTTAGATCGACTACGAGCACGTAAGTTTGAAAAAAACAAATTTTAAAAAGTAAAAAACAAACGTTTATTCTACATACAGTGCAACTACCACATCGACAAGTACCATATCGACAAGTTCAACACTACAAGGTTACCGTAAAAGTAGTTACATTAAAAATAATTATAAGAAGAAGAATTTTATTTTAGGTACAACTGATTCAATCTTAAAACATGCTCACACTCAACAACTGAGCAGCATCACATCACCAAATGTAACTGAAAATGATTCGATTTTATCACGCGGTTACTCGCGACAAATGAGAAAAAGTACAACAAAAATAGCGTGGTGAAAAGAAAACGTTTTGACAAATTCTGCCTTTTTTCGAATGAAATGATCAATTTAAATAAAGCGTACCGGAGATATACAGAAAGATCTAAGATGTTCCATATATATATTAATCTTCTTATAGGTAGCTATATGTGTTATCATTTGGTAAAATTATTTTTTATCGTCTGATAGATTCAAGAAAGACGTTTCCAAAAAGTATTTTGATTTCTATTTGGTTTTAGCAAACATAACCAATTTTAAATAAAAGGCTCCAAATAGAATCTTAAAAATTCTTTACAGATCTCTCAGAGTTATTTGACACTTTTTTAAAGCTAGCACTAGAAAGCTCTATAATTTTCGTATGTAATCGATGAAAAGTCGAAGCTTCATTAGCACTTTTTGTTTCAGAAATATCTATGTGCACTGATCCTATTAACATAGATAGATCCAAAATGTTAAGTAAAAAGGAGTCTTGGTTATTTTAAGAAGAAAGTAGTGCATTAATCGTTTCAAGAAATCTAGTTATAAATTACATTGCTATGAAATTTTTTGCTAAACTAACTAAAAATGTTTCAGTTAATCTACTTATTTTAGAAAGTGAATAATTATTACAAAGAGCTAAAATATGTAATGCCTTTCTTTTCTGTAATAGAAAATGTCCCATACGGCTTGTCCAAACGTAACGGTGTGACATTATTGACATTTTGAAGGATGATTCTACCGCCATTTTGTGCAGTTCATTGCCCTCTGTTTCTGGTAAAGAAATGAGAAAATTTGGGTAATATTTACGGCTTTGGGAAGGAATATCCGGTGCGTGACGGACGTGACACTGTCAGGGTGACAGAAAAAGGTCCTAAATTGCGAGTGCATCTAATTAAACGCTAATTTCCTGCGAAATTACCTGGGCAAATGGAAACTGTCTAGAGCGAACGTTTTAGAGAAGCTGACGAGCTATTCAATATTAAAAAGAATTTTCTTCCAAAGTCTTTCCCTCGCTTATAAATGTTAATAAATAAATGTGACGGCGTGACACACTTTTTGTCAGTGAATTTTCAGGCACTTCCCTAGAGATCAAATCTTATATCAGATTCCTATAGGAATCTTATAGAAACATCTGCAAGAATCTTATAAGATTCTTATAAGAATCTTATGAATTTCTTAATAAGGCAGTCGATGAAAATGCGTAAGATATTGATAAGAATCTTATATACGAAACTGGTAAGATTTCTATAAGATTCTGATAAGAATCTTATAGGAAGGATATAGTACAATTTCATCACATTCTTTAGTGATCAGTACCCTATATTCTACTTTCTTACTATAATCTACTGTTTTATACGTGAATAAAATAATTTTCTTTTCACTTATTTAATTTTTCTATAATAAGACCTTAGTTCCACGCAGACAGTCCCACGACTCGTCCTCATTGTCTACTGCTGTAGACCGAATTTACTTCCACAAATCTATCATGACTATAGGAAGAAAATAAAGTTCGCTTTTATGATTGCTTCTAGTGCTTTATTAAGACAGATATGAAAAGAGTTTTGATGCATATCAGTAGTATTCGACCTGCTCTATTTTCTGCGACTTAGAGAGTCCGAATTGAATCTGATCTTTATAGAAAAAAAGGATCTCAAGTAGCGCATTTTTCTAGAGATCAGTTTGAAATAGTGGGATTTATACAAACGAGCAACATATCGTGCCCTGCATTCTCATCTCACATATTTTTATTTTTCGAACTTTATTTTCTTCCTATAGTTATGATAGATTTGTGGAAGTAAATTCGATCTACAAGCAGTAGACAGTGAGGACAACTCATGAGACTGTCCGCGTGGGACTAAGGCCTTATTATAGAAAAATTAAATAAGTGAAAAGAAAATTATCTTATTCACGTATGAAACAGTAGATTATAGTAAGAAAGTAGAATATAGAGTACTGATCACCAAAGAATGTGATGAAATTGTACTATATCCTTCCTATAAGATTCTTATCAGAATCTTATCAGAATCTTATAGAAATCTTATAGAAATCTTATAAATTCTTATAAAATAATTATATAATCTATCTTACCGAATTCCTATGAGAATCTTATAAGATTATTATATTCCTTCTTATAAGAATCTTATCAATATCTTACGCATTTCCATCGACTGCCTTATATAAGATTCTTATAAGATTTCTATAGAATTGCCATAAGATCGGTCGACTAGGGTTACTGTCCTCCAAAAAACTTGATTTTTATATGATATTCTATCGATTTATGTGAAAAATAAAGTTGAAAATTTTTTTTCAGACTTTTAAACTAGTCTGGAACCTTGAAACATCGAAAAGGCATAAGTTTTTTTCCCAAAGTCGAATTGTCGAAAAAAATGAGCCATTTTGTAGAGAATTTAACTTTAGGCATAGACTCAACTAGGAACTGATAATAATAAAAGAATGTCAACAGGTCATGTATCAGAAATGATACAACAACTAAGAAAAAGTCAGATATCAATATGTATTTACCAAATCCGCCAAACTTTTACTTGGCTTTTTAACTTTTACTTTTAAAGTTTGAATATGAGTATGGTGAATTTCTGGATGGCGCCTGTAATTAAGATGAAAAACGAGAGTGAAAGACTATTTTCATCATAAAAGCGATGAATGAATTCATTATAATGGCAGGACTCCATCAGTCGTGCAATAAACTAATAGTCCATCTGACCACCTCTCATACATTTTTGCCAGAATGATCTTATTATTCAGATTCTTTCGGCGAAAAAAATGATTAATTTGCAATTAAAACTATGATGTGTACATACATTTTCACATCTTTCATTAATTTTAAATTACGAAAAAATGCAGAATGTCACTGTTTTCTATGAGAAAGTTTAGAATTTCAACTGAATAGAAAGCTACTCGCTGAAAAACTTCAGTAGATACTTCTTCTATATATTCTTGCGTTGGATATTGTATTAGAATCTACCCAAGATTATATTCTCTAGAATCTTGTCAGGATTCTATCCCAATTCTACAAAGAATTCACATTTTTAGGTCGTAGGCTTCTGTCAAATCCCATTTAAGATCTTAACGGGTGACGTGACCCATAAAGAATGTCCCTTTCAGTATTTTGCTTATAACTTGGTTTGGATTTGTTTCCGAGACTCGATGTTTTTTTTGAAAGATGCGCCGCAAAATTCTTTACAAAATCATACCTAAACTATAATTTCAGAACTTCAATCAAGAAAACTAAGCCAATTAGATGAAAGTCGAAAAAAATGTAATATTCCTAAACTCAAAATTTTCGACTTGAACTTTTTCTTCTGCTACTATTTCCGCTAAACAGTGTAGCAAAAGTGAGAACTCAGTTTATGTTTGGTACTTTCAAATGTGCTCTTTCTCGTGGTCTGTAGAAAAACTTTTTTAGAGCAGACGGTGTGCTCGAGAACGAAGTTACAAAAATACATTAAAAGTTGACAACCTCCCCGTGTCCAACAATGTGCTCAATCAAGAAACGGAAAAGATGATTGAAGTTTGATTTTGCAGTTAGATAGAGAAGACCAATCATTTCTGATCAAAACAAAGCAAACCCGACCGTAAAAGCTTTTATTCTGATGGAGTTATGGGGCTTTTACTGAAAGCACTACTATACCCAAAATTTAGAAAATTAATGAAAAAATGCATGACAACCGATAGAAAAACTATTATTTCGCTGTGGCTTTTGATGTGAAAAACATTTGCAGTGTGGCTAAAAGATAGAGCGAAGTCAGAGCTACAGAATGGTTAGTTCAGTTTTTCTTACTTTCAAAACGTTAATACACGACATCATTTTTGAGTTTAGGAAGTTTATATTTTTTTCGACTTTCATCTAATTGACTTAGTTTTTTTGATTGAAGTTCTGAAATTATAGTTTAGGTATGATTTTGCGAAGAATTTCGCAGCGAATCTTTTAAAAAAACATCGAGTCTCGGAAACAAACCCAAACCAAGTTATAAGCAAAATACTGAAAGGGACATTCTTTATGGGTCCCATTAGAGGATCCTAAACATATGCTGTCTAGATTTCATCATTCACCATAATTAACTTGAAGTAGAAGGGTAACAGCGATCCAAGTCTCATGTACCTTGACGAGTAATTCTCGTTAACACCTGGACATAGTTAAATTTCGGTTAATATATGCTGGATGACTGATCACATTATGGAACTAGTATTAGTCGTTTTGTATGTGCCTGCTGCTTGATAAATAATAGGAACAATGAAAAAATCCTAGTTTAATGGAAAAAGATAACTCGATTCTTGCGTTTTCAGACATGCTTTCATCTCGAACAGTTCGTTGTGATAGAGCAGCGACGATTAAACGTTGGTTGATCTCTCCCTTCTTTCAGTTAGCTGTTTCTGCCTTTGAGGCGAAAGTGAACAATCTGAGTTAGAGTAAACAGTTTTTAAAATCTTTTAAGCCTTATCTAAAATCGATTTTCTTTACCAGAAGGAAATAAAAAATGCAAGATATCTGCGTTTCTCCTTGCAACTTAAGGCAAAACTTGTAAGTATAGGACATCTTCTTCATATACAGTTATCAAAAAAAAAAGCTACGTCTTCGGCGTAATGAAGATCGTTATGTGTGAATTTAACTTATCGTACAGATTTGGTACCATTCCGTATATACTTTCAGACTAGACGTATTATTTTTTGCTGCATGGTAAATTGCACGTTTCCCAACATCGGTTACATTTAAATTATATTCAATATAGAGCTTTTATAAACTGATATTATTTTTGATGATATTTGCTAATGTTAATGCACCATCATCACCAATGTGGTTGCGTTGCATTTTAAGGCTAGACAATGATTTATTAATTAGCAGCATGTTTGCTATGGCAGTTGTTCCATTTGATGTAACAGAATTAGATGATATATCTAATTTCCTTAATGCGTGATTGTGCTCTAATGCTTTAGCAATTACAATTACATCATCTTCAACGTTATTTGAGGATATATCTAATGTCAATAATATATGATTTATTTCTAACATTATTGCAATAA